CAAATCCCCGCTCACGTGACCCCTTCTTAGGACTTCCATGACTACCTGTCTTCCCATAGTTTACTCTCTATTATATCTGACAAGTTATTTTCTAAAGTGATTATTATAATCCAACTGTTCTTGTATGTTTATTTATTTATGCCTCTCTCCTTCAACTGCATTGTAAGCATCTAGAGCTGAGGTTGACATTTTTATTTTTTCTGTAAAAAGGCAGGTAGTAAATATTTTTAGGCTTTGCAGGACATATGTTCTCATTGCACCTACCCTACAATTGTAGCCTGAAAGCAGCTATAAATAATACATAAATCAATGGATGTGGCTGTGTTTCAATAAAACTTTATTCACAAAAACAAGCTTTTGGCTCAGAGACCATAATTTGCCAGTTCCCTCTAGGGTCATTCCTTTATATGGATTGCTCCCTCCCATATCCTCAGCGCCCAGCACAAGGTTAGGTCCAGCACACGGTTAGGTGCAGCACATATTCACAACTTTTCATCCTTATCAAAACCCTGGAAGGTGGATATTGTTATTTCTATTTTGTAGATGAGCTAAATAAGGCTCAGTGAGGTTTACTAATCCATCCAAACTCTCATAACTATCGTATTTGTTTTCTAGGGCTGCTATAGCAAGGTACCACAAACTGCACAAAATACTTAACACGACAGAAATTTCTTCCCTCACAGTGTGGAGACTAGAAATTCAAAATCAGTGTGTTATTATTCAGAGTGATGCTTCCTCTGAAGTCACTAGATGAGGATCCCTCCTTGCTTCTTCCAGCTTCTGGTGGCTCCTGGCATTCCTTGGCTTGGGCAGCATAGCTCCAGTCTCAGCCTCTGCTTTCACACGGCCTTCTTCTCCGTGTGTCTTTCTTTACCTCCATATGGCCTTCTTCCCTGTATGTCTGTGCATTCTTTCCACTTATACGGACACTAGTCATTGGATTTAGGTCTCATCCTAATACAATGTGATGCCATTGTAACTCATTTCATCTGTAAAGGCCCATTTCCAAGTAAGGTCATATTCTGGGGTTCTGAGTGGACATGAATTGCCAGGGTGTGGGGGGGGGGAGAGTATTAAGCCCACTAAAACTTACAAATGTTAAAGATTTGAACTTGACTCCTTTTCAATGATTTTCCATTCTGAAGTTATAATCTCAGCTATTAACAGTGGTGTCCAATTTTAGAGTTATTTTGAGAAATGATTTGATAGTGTCAGTGGAAAAGAGAGCTAAGAAAGTTAACTTAGAGGAGCTTATCTACGTCATCATTTCTGACTAGTTACCCTGAACACAATGTTAGTGTTGACCTTAAGAGCACCTGATACATAATTCATTAATAGAGATTTGAGGCATTTTTCTATAGATATCATTGGTTGAGCAAGGAGAATCACATTAGCAGTGTCACCATCTCTCTAGTTAACATCTTTGAATACCAGGCTTGTAAGCAGGATTTTTTTCAAAATCTTCTCTAAAGCATGTTTCTCCGTTAGGGGAGAATGAAGTTCTGTTACACCCCAAATACATTTGGGAAATCCCAGGCCAAACAAAGTAAAACAGATTTCTTTACTGAAGTATATAATTGCTTCTTAACACTTTTATTTGTTAAGGTGCCTTGCGAATTTCTAGAAGGGAGGTATTGTACATACTATGTTTCTCAGTTCACTGAACTTTTTTTGTAGAGTCTATTTAGAAACTAATCATATGTGCCACACACTTTGGAACACCTACTTTGGGTGTTTATTTGCTTATCTAAGTTCAGATAAGTTCTGCTTTTCTGGAGGTCAATTTGTATAAACTTTATATATCTCTGGGATTTTAGAAATTTGTTGGTTTTGAACCCTTCCAAATTGGATGAGATTCCTGACCAAAGGAGGAGACCCTGATGGGTTATACCATGGCAACTACTAATTTCTTGGCCAATTAATTTACTCATTTTTTGTTTATTCACTCACTGATTTCATATGCACTTATGGTGCCCAAGGAAGTAGCTATGAGCATAAAGATGATCAAGACTAGACTTCTTTTCATTAAGTCATCCAGATAATACACATCAGCCAACATTTTCCAAAGCAATTTTAATAAACGGAAACTAACTTGTATTGAACTGAAAAGTGCCCCCCCCACACCCACACACACACACTAAAAATTCATATGTTGAAGTCTTAATCCCTAGTACCTTAGAATGTGATAGTATTTGGAGATAGGACCTTTAAAGAGGTAATTAAAGTTGAATGAGGTAATAAGGGTGGGGCCCTCATCCAATAGGAATGATGTGCTTTTCAGTAGGAGAGATAAGATACCAGGGATGGACATGCACAGAGAAAAGCCCATGTGAGGATACAGCAAAAAGGTGGCCATCTACAAGCAAAGATGAGAGGTCTCTGGAAAAATCAACCCTGCCAGCCTCTTGATCTTGGATTTCTAGCATCCAGAACTCTGAGAAAATACATTTTTGTTGATTAAGTCACCCAGTCTACGGTATTGTGTTATAGCAGCCCTAGCAAGTAAAAATACCACTGTTTATTGTTCATTAAGCTCTTGCCTTCAAAGCTTTATTCATCTAGTTTTAATGTTTCCTGGGGATTATTTATTTATTTGTATTTTAGAAGAAGTTCATGAGGACCAACTTGATTGTACACTGCTTGAACACAAGGCCTTAGTTGCATCTCCACATTGACTAGCTGAGAGACAGGCATCTGATAGAATGAATATGTCATCTACATTTCTACTCCTCTCTGTACATGAATAATTGAGAGGTGGCCCAATACATCTCTTGGAGAGAACAAGAAATAAGAAAAAGAGAACTACAAAGTCTTAGGCACATAGCTCTATGCTTCAAATATATCTATTTAATTTTTTTTTCTATTTTAAGGTAAATATCTTTACCCCATTTTTTCAGATGAAGAAAGAGAGGTTCAAAGAGGATTACTGATTTCACCAAGATCATAAAATCCTTGGTAGAGCCAGAATTCAAATGATTCCCACTTGAATATATGCTGGTCCGAGGGAAATAAGTACAATGTTTTCAAATGAAGAAAAGATGCTGATAAGAGTGTTTTCATCAATTGCTTAGTTAAAGGAAAGAGAAAATCTGTTCAGGCTGCAGCACTTATGGAAAAGAACTGGAAATTTTACTGGACTATGTGTTAATTTCAGTGATAGCCTCCTAACTTACATGGCTACCAAAAAGTTTGGCCAATGTTAAGTTGTGCAAATAAAAATAATGATTATAAAGCACTAGTAAGTGCATGGCACTGTTTTTGGTTCTTTCCATGTATTCCTGGTACCACTACTCTGGAAGGCTAGTGACAAAACAGAAGTGTGTCCAAAGGCTGGTGACTACAATGACCAGGCTTTGAAATCATGCTGCATAGCTACTGGTTGGGTAAACTGCGAAAGTTTACTCTGGAGAAAATTGAAGATGACATGAAAGTCGTCTCAAATAGTTGAAATATTTTCAGATAGAAGAGGGATTTAGACATAGGCATAGAATTCAGCAGTTGTGAGCCTTCCTTTACAGAGTATTATATTCAAACAGATGTGTCCTTGTAGAAGCAATACAGTGTTCAACGGGAGATCAAGCAGTTAAAAATCTTACTTTCCCTAAACTTGAAGATTTTAGAATTTTTAGGGTTCGTAAATATCATCATCATCTTCTTCATTAATAAAGTTAGGCTTGGAGGAAAAAAAATATTAGTGCTAGAACCCTTCTGGAAATATAGAAAGAAATCCCCAAGAGAGAAACATTAATTATTTCATCACCATTGATTAAAAAAAAAGTGTTCTTCAATTTGAACCCTTCTCTATATTGATTCTTGTATAATTAATTACATTAAGAAAATTCAGTCTTCAGGTTTCAAAGCCAGTGACGTTACATGCTTTGAAAGGATTGTCTATTTATTTTTGCCTTTATCAGCAAGAGAAGCTCATCCTTAATGCCCATCATTTGGTCAGGCATTGAGCAGAAGCTTCTTACAATATGATGTGTTGGGCGTTTTACCTGGGATCAGTGTTTCTTGAGAAGTACCCACAGAGGCAAAGAAGTGAGTACATGATGATAGTGAGCATCATTAGAGGAATTAGAGTAGATAATTCATTTGCAAGCACCAGAGAAGTGTGCTTATGTGATGTGCCAGGGCTATCCAGAGCCCAAAATAAGAAATTAAAGAGTTGCCGTGGTGTGGGCATCTTGAGGAGAAATTAGGATAAATTGCAGAACAGCCCTACTGAGGATGAGTCAAGAAAGATACTGCATACAGTGCACCTAGAAAATCCGGGCTGTTGGAGGTGTGTGTGTGCGTGTTAGAATCATTTAAAAAAATTACATTGTGGCTATGAACGCTTGACTAGTAATGAGAAAGATCTGGTCTCAGGAGGAAAAAAAAATGCATCGAGAGGTGTTCCATCCTACTATTCAGAACGCTGTGGGTGCGCAAACAATATTAATGCTCCACGATGAAGATGGGAGCGAGGAGGATAATTAACGCAACCCATAGAAAAATAGGGCTAAGGGAGGATGATATAGACCAGGGACCAGGAGAGGGAGGATGACTCACGGGCGAGGGGTACCTGGGGATAGAGCGATGTGCCGCGCACGTCGGCGAGCGTAGGGAGAGCGGCTGGGGCGCGCGTGGCTTGGACCTGGGGAGTGGGCGGGTGGGTGCCCGTGGGCGGAGCGGCTCCGGGACTCAGCAGCTGTGTCTGCGAGAGCAGCAGCATCACCCGGGAGCGGAGCCTCGGAGACTCCGCCTAACAGACACCCAAACTCTCCATCTCCCCTCCCGCAGCCCCAAACTGGAGGCAGCCGAGCCCGGGAGCAGCCTCGGCGGCGGCGGTGGCGGCCCCA